TTTTAAAAGAAGCTAAGACTGACTCAAGAAATGCTCCTTTTATTTCATTGGCTGTTCCCTGGATCAAATGCACCTCAATCCTAATAGTCCCTGGCAATTAGAAGGGTCACGCCTCTCTCTGCAGAACTGAGGGGTATAGAAAGTTAATTGGAAGAGTCTTTCATGATATCTCTTCTGACTCCTTCATTCCAATTAATGCTCCTTTGCATTTGTTATCCAGAGTTGTACTCATATTAACCTTACTTGTGTTAAAATACCAAACATAACTGAACAAAACATTGGAGCAGGTGTTAAGATTTGTAACCCAGAATAAGTCCTGAGCCATCTATATAAATGCTTGTTATACTGTATAATATTTCTTAATATAAATGCTTGTTATACTGTATAATATTTCTTATTATTGTAAATAAACAATGCACTTCAGATTGTGTATCATTCATTTTCAATTAATCTTTATATAACCTTGGGTTAAAATACTTTCTAGTTTTACTGAAAAGAGGAATTTGAATTGAATCCATCTCACAGACAATTTTAGTTAATATACTGGACACCTCATTTCTTCTATCTCTCATTTCTCATAGCCCACTTTTTAATTTGGTCATTGCTGCAGCAACCAGCTTCACACAACTGGAAGAGGCCTGCATCTATTTCAGCTGCTCTATGTAACTCTGGCTTTCTGCTTCTGTGCTTTTCTGATCCAGTAGAATAGAATGTCACTGGGAATGCACCCTAACCTCACATAGACACAAAGGACTGGTACAAAGGAGATGAGAGGGATCTTCCTTGCATTAATAATGGGAGATAGAAATTGTTGTTTAAATACTCCCCTTTCAGCTTCTCACACAGTTCATTTGAAGGATCTTTTCTATAGGTGCTTAGAAGATCCTGGCATGAACGAGCCCAGTTGCCCACAAAGGCAGCCTTTGAAAATGCTTCCTTATATTGGCTTTTCCTCTTTTCTTAATTATCCCCAGTCCTTCTATTTTATTTGTTGAGATAACTTTCCAAAATAATTTTACTTGTCTCATATTCTGCTTTCTCAAGAGAAGCTAGGCTGAGACAGTTAATATCCTCAGAGACCGGGTGGGGCAAATAAGTGAGCAGCTCCACTTACAAAATGTTGGCTAGCCAGGCTTTCTTTAACTCTGAGCATCCACCTGCTTCATCAATATTGTAGGATGCTCCCACCAATATAACACAAGTAAAAAGCACAGCAGTTGCTTCTGGCTTTTAGTAACCCCAAACTCATTGCTTAAGGGGAACACGTGATGAGGGATGGAGGCAGCTGCTCAGGAATGGTCATAGGAGGCAGTGCATTGAGTAAGTTACTGAGTCTTTGGGTTCCTCACAGTTTCGTTAATACATCCTTGATAATACTTCGTCTTGCTCTTTGCATAACATTTCACAGAAAGACAAAAATAAAACCAGTTATAAAGACATCTGTGGAGAGATGGTGCTCCGTCTGCTCTGAATGAAAAAAAAATCAAGCACACAGACGTGTCGCTTCATAAAGCAAGCATCTTTCTTAAAGAAAACCATGTTTGCCAGAAAACAAGCACTTTCGTGTTCTCATTGACTTAAAATTTCCTGTGAAATATATTTGCTAGACAGAAAATCTGACAACAAGATATGGCCATCAGCTTGCTCTCCAGCTTAAAGATCTGGATATACGAGCTGGCCAATGAACAGTTCGGAGTACTAACCTGGCGGTAACTCTACAATGCTCATTGGTGCAGCTAGACTTTTCTGCTGATCCCACTGGAGGGTAATGCCTGATCTAGAAATAACTCACCTAGTCAAGAATGAGCAAACAAAAAATATGCATCAACAAAATAATATGAGACTTAGAGAAGTAGTCTAGGATACGACAAGATTTATTGCCCTAACTATACTGTGACATCACTGGTCTCATCTGGAATAAGCATTCTTGGTCTTGGCCTCTGAGTGCTGCTGGGTCCTGCCATTCACTGTGTTGTAGTTCATCCTTCTGGCCTTTGGGCATGATACACTGATTCCCACTGTTCACTGTATCTGTGCTATGTGTTGCAAACACTCAGCCCTACCACAGACTTCATCCGGTTTGTTGGCGCTCTGAATCTCCACAACATTTTGAACACAACATTTTGAACACTTCAACTCTTGTCTATTTTCCCTATAGCATTTTGAGGGGCCATTATCCCATCCACATCAATACCATACTTTGCCATTAATAATCTACCTATTTGCTCTCTTTTTTGAGGGAGCACTTGCAAATTTCTAGGATTCTGACCTGGAAAATACATACAAGCATCCTTCATTTTCCATTCAAAGTATCCTTATGCTTATAAATAAAAAGTTTCTCGGCTTTCAGAAAACAGTTTCTGGAATGCACTAAAAGTCATAATTGAGTTTTCTTCTAAACCCAGACAAACTTTTCTGTGGGGTAATAACAGCCATGGCAAAGTTCTAATGTTGGATGTTTTGTAAGGCAAAACAATTATAACGTACAAACAAACGTTCAGACTACTCTGATACAAGTGCTAGGAAATTAATTCATAGTGGGAATACAGCAATCTACAATATAAGCAAGTTTTCTCATAGAGATTTATATTTATATCATGTGTTACTTCTTATTCTCAGAGGAAAGAAAGTCCCTTCCATTGTACATTGAAAATTAATGGAGTATTATATAACTGGTGAGACACTGAATATAAGACACATAATTAAGGGTTAATTTGTGTTTAACAGAAGAATAAAATTATCTTTTGTTTTCATAAGTATTTATACTTGACAGAAAAGCACTTGATTTAAAAATATGTTCATGCATATATTTATGTATGTATATGTGTGTGTGTATTCCATAATTATATAGTAGTAGAATGAAAGAATCAGTATATTTGCTTCTTGATCTTTACACCCACACCTCTGATATCTAGAGACCATTGATTTCAAGGACAATAGAATAATGAGTAATGCAAATAGCACTGACCTCAAATAGTTTTTTTCTAAAAACACCAACCTGTAGCAATGACCCTTGTTTGATGATGTGACCCCAGGAAAGTATATTAATATCCCTTTCTAATGTTAGTAAAAGCCTGGGCCGCTTAAATATCGAGAGATTTTTGTACTCCACAAGTACACTGGTCCCCAATTTCTCAATACAGTTACTATGTAATCATATTAAATTGGACAGGTCATAAACTGGATACGTAAATTATAGTACAGTATTCAATGTGATAGTATGCAGAGCTGTTATAAGAATAAATCTGAGTTATAACTTTAAGTCATTCAGGGAAAGATATTCAACATCAAATAAAGATGGAATTAGTAAGGCGGCCGGTGATATATGACACAGTGTAAATTTGATACATATCAGTACTAAAAGCTTCATAAATCTTTACCCTTTTTTGAAATGTAAAATATGCTAAAATTTAGATAGAATTCTAGAAGCTGGTATCTTTAAATTGTCCCCTTTTGTACTACAGTCTACTGCCTTAGATGCATACATTATTACAATAATTATTATTATTCTTACTTTGAATTCTTCCCTTTACTACATTACTGAAAGAACATGGCATCATGTATACCACCATTCTGTTTCACTCATCAAATTTTTAAAATGAATTTGTGGCAAAAATAAAATCACTTACAGAAGCAGTTTTTTGGGAATCCTCATCAAGCCACAGTTCCAATATCTATGGTAATTTCCCATGTGACACCATGAGTGTTCTTGTCGAATAACAACTGTAGCCAACCCAGTCCAGTCCACTTGCTGTTTTATTGAAACTTATCCTGTGTGTTACAAAGCCACTGTTTTTCTGATAAACAGTGTCTACATAATTCCAGTCCTTTCTATTTAGACAACTTACAAACTGAGTACAAGGTGATTTAGAGAAAAATACTTCTCTAAGATGGAAGTTGAGGTCTATGATCAAAAACCATTAAATTAAAGTTCCCCACAGGCTTATGGAGGATAAAAGCAATCTGGATAAGGCCCTTATACTGCTGCAGAGTAGCTTGCAGCAAAATGATTCTACTGTTGTCTCTCAAGGGAATGAGCAAGGGAGATTGACAAGGAAAACAAACATCTGTGTGCACACACATACAACTGGATATTTTTTCCTGGTAAACTGAGTTATACCCCTCTGGGAGCTTTTCTCAAAGGTATGACTCATAACTGTAAAGACAAAACTCTTCTCTGACAATAACTATTCAAGAAGTACATATATAAAGGAAATTATGGCAGTGGTGCATGATTTCATTACTATAAGAGAAGCTCCTTCCCGTTTTTTGGTATGGGGATCCATGAGGGATCAAGTATGATATTTTTAAATTTTTTCTTTAACATTTATATCTGTCAAACTAGATTTTTAAAACATATTTTAACACTGACTTTCTTATAAAAAGAAAAAGAGAGACAAGGAAATATTGCTCAAAACAGGAGGTCTTGTTGTTTTAAAGGCTTGGGCTGGATTACATAACTTCAAGCTTTTTGAATTTCTTAGTTTGTTTTATCGAATGTCTAAATCAAAAGCATCAATCTCTTGGTGTGCCTATACCATATAATCAAATGTTAGCATTTTTACAAATGGAGTTAAACCAACCGTGATACTGCTTATCGCATGAGCTCTCTCTTATCCACACAGATCTTCAGCAAATCTCAGCAGTTCCCACTCCTTTCCAGCTTGGGCCAGATCCCCTGCAGATTAACTGGTAAACTACAAGAAATCTATTTTGAATCCCCAGTAACACTGAGGGTGAATGAACTCTCTATACAAAAATAGCTCCCTGCCTTCTTCAGTGTCAGCAAGGAACATGCAGGGTATGGAGTGATAGTCAAGAGTAATTTCTTCAAATATATATACTTCAGTGGATGTTAGGACACATCCACCGAAATAAGTTCTGGTTTAACTGTAAGAAGTTCAGGAACTCAATGCAACAATAATCAAAACAATTACACTTAAAATAATGCTATGAATTAAAACGTTACCATCAACATGATTTCCTAGCTGTGTGTGTACCTGCAAGCTGGTGGTGTCTTTCCTTAGAAGATTTACACGCAGTCAAATGTCTCATTCTTCTGTTTTCTTCACAACCTTCTGATGTTGAAATTACCTCTTTTTGAAATTGTGTTTGCAAATCACCTTTAGTTCCTGGAAATATAATAAAAATACATAGTAATTTTAGACTTAGGAATAATAATAGGTATTTCAGATTAAAGAACTCATTATCAGAAATTGCACTGTTTCTTATTTCTTTCTATTCAGCTTATTCAAATGATCCACAAAACTGATTCCACAATATCTTGATAAAATGTAATGGCTATTAATAGGTAATCTAAGTATTTGAAATTTTATTCATTCCAGAGATTGATACAAGAGCATATTTTTGGCAAAATATATTAAAAAATGATCCCATATATAATTTATGTTATATTAATTATTGAATAATAGAATATAGCATTGTTTTAGGTTTTTATTATTCTGGATTTTCACAAAATAAAAAGGTCACATTCTTGAAGAAAATAGAAAGTAGCAAGAGCTTTCTAAGCAGTGATTAGTGTCAAGTGGCCTATTTTAATAGGAAGAATGTTTAGAACATAGTATTATTTCCTAAAAGGGAAATAAAACCTGGTAAGAGTTCCTGATTAACAACATCAAAATTCAGTTATAATTACTTGAACGTTTTTTTCATTTGTTCTTTGTTGCTTGTTTTTGCATTTTACCTCATGTTGAACATTATGATAGTTATCCTTATTTTATATATTATAATATGATAATGCTTAAAGGGTAAATTTGTAAGATCAATATCTCGATTAATCAATTAATTCTCCTAATTCACAAATCATGATCTTAAATCCATCATTTCACAGTTAAAGTCCATTATTATTAGGCTTTTGGGTTTTTGTCTTCACCATAACTAAAATCACTAAATTAAAGATGGATAAATGAATATACTGGTCTTTGATTAAAAAAAAATAAAGACTTTGAGAATAAGTAAAATCCATCACTACTAGTAAAAGAGTATGCTCAAATATATCGTTGTGGTTTGATGAGGGACAAGCAAATTTTAATTTTGTTTGTTGTTTTTATGTACACCATTTTAGGATTAAGTAATTTATTTTGACTTAGTTTTAAAAATCAAAGTTAAAAAATAAAAATTGTTTTGATTGACGCATTTACAATCTTTAAAGTATTTAAGACTTGGCAATGATTTTGTCATCAAAGAATATCATAGCCAAACACGGTCTACCCAATCTATATAAGAGTAATTTGTTGAAAATATAACTTGCAGTTATATTTTAAAATATCTTACTTGATCCCTCATGGATCCCCATAAAAAAAAAGGGGAAGGGGCTTCTCTTTTAATAATGAAATCATGCACCACTGCCATAATTTCCTTTATGTATGTACTTCTTGAATATAACTTGCTGAAAATATAACTTTGCTGAAAATATCTTCCCTTTATATTAATTATAAATAGTTCTTCCTTAACTGGGGTTATTATAAATTTGTCAAAGCATTAGATTGTAAATACTAATAATGCATGCTGGAATGAACTATGTATGATTTCTTGAAATTTCAATGAAGTTAAGGATATACATCCATCAGAAATAGATAATATACTATTTAGATAAAGAGCTGTTCTGGCATTAATCTTAAACCTGTCCTTACTAGAGAGGTTTCAAAATTACTGACCAGCAGAAATTTTTTCGTTCTGATGAAATTCTTTTTTTCACCTCGTTTACCATTACGCGCTGACACGATTCTGAGGCATTTGTTGGTATGTCCTGATACGATCACTTTACTGATGTACTGGTTGTAACTCAACTAAAATTTGTCAAAACCCAAATTTCATTTACTTTTTTTCTTTATCAAATCTACTTCTTGTCCTTTTTATCCTTCTTTTTGTTCCTATCAAAATCCATGGAAGTACTATGGCCTGAAACAGCAGAGTTTTCCACACACACTTAAGAAATGTATGCTCTTTTAAAGTGCTACAAAGTATGTTTATTTTAATACTTTTGTAAGGAGCTATCCTATAAAGTTCCTAGGTCTTATAGCATGAGCTTTAGGTGGTATGCTATAATTGGAAAAATTCTTGTCCAGCCTCCATTTGAATATAAACTGCATATAAGCAGCTATATTTGCTTGTTTTGTTTTTTGTTTCTGGGATATATGAGGACATCAAAGTGTGACTGGCATGTGTGTAGTGGGTACAAAATAAGTATTTCTGAATGAATGAATTTAGAATTTATTCTGTTTGTAAACTGAGTTTAGCTGTAAATGTACTGTCTGCTCCACTGACAAAGAATCTGCTCCACTGCCTAATAATAATAATAATAATAATAATAATAATAATAATAATGCTTCTGGCTTATTTACTCAATGATGTTTGGTTGTTAAAGTCTATTGTCTTCACAATGACTTGGTTTCTTACCCTATAATGTGGATGATCTCCTACTCAGTCCTTAATATTTACTGTATGTTCTCTAAATCATCAAAATTGTATTTAATTTTGTAAAGTATATATATATATGTGTATATATATATAAATAGATAAAGCCATCACCTCTAAATTGACTTCTAACCTAATTGATTAAGTAAAACTTCAAATTAAATCATTAAAATCAGTGCTTTAGTAAATTAGATGCAGTAATATTTTAGTAAAGTAAGAGATCTGTGGGTTGATATGGATGCATCCATTTTCACAGAGCAGGCCATACTTGAGCCAAGCTTAAATTTGGAGAAGATGATGGGAAAGAGCAATTACTGGTGGGGTGGCTGTGAACAAGGTCCTGATAATGCCATCTTTGACTCGGTCTCTACACTTCTCGTCCCAAATATTGGCAAAGATTTTGAAACTTTTTTAAAGATTTTATACTCAAATTATGAAATACCATTTAACTCCATTCTCTAAACCCATTCCTCAGTAATAAGACAAATGTGAAAGAACATTTTGGCATGGTTATTTTATTAACACATCCCTTTGAAAAGGGTAAGATGTATCCCCAGCTTAATCAGTCTGATTAATTAAATTTTCTTTAGTGAATATTGTCATTTTAAATGTAACATATTATTGGTCTACATTATGTACCATAGATTTGTTGAAAAATGAAAACTCTATAAAAACATGAGTATTTCTACAATTATTACTTAAATAATGTGCGTTTTGAAATTTAAAATAATGGCATATCTGATTTGGTCCTAAGGACTGATAGAGAAGTTTCATTAAAGCCATTTTGTTTGTGGGGCAACAAAGAAGAAATGAAATAGAATGACAACCTAGACAGAACTGACCAGATGCTAAAAGCAGATGGAAAACTTAAAGTGAAGTATTAAAAGAGGAGGTTTATAATGCTACAGCTGGTGATTAAAATATCTTGGTATCTAATCAGGCAACAACATCTGGCGCACTGTTATTCAGAGGTTTTCAAACAGTAAGAAGCACAATATAATTTAATAGTCAAAACTGAATTTGTTAAGGTAGCCAATGAGTAGAAATTCAGAAAACCTTACACAATATCTCAACTTTTCAAAACAAGACAAAGAAAATGCTAAAGCGTGCCTTTTGATAATTAAATACTATATATTGCAAAACTGAAGTTGGATTAAAGTTTAATCAAACTCAGTGGATGTCATTAAAAAGGAAATAAACAAATGATGGCATAAATAATAACAAACTTTTGAGTTCCCTTCTACCTCTCTAAGGACAAAATAAAGCAAAGACAAATAGCACTTGAGTAAATGACAACAATATGCAGTAGTAAAAAATACTCATATTTAATTGTAAAAAGTTATGATGGCCATAATTTCACCTAACTCCATTTTCATTTGTAATTTATTTTCTATTTGAATAAGAAATCTAAAGAAGTAGGGAGTTAATGACTTAGTAATGTTTAACATGAGGGAGTTCAACATTCAAAAATATTTTTATTCTGGAAAATCAGTTGTTTCATTAAATAATATTTTATTCTTAATTAAGAGAAAATAATATCCTACAAATTATGGTACATCTCTCCATAAATCTTGCTGTTGTTCTCAGTGGATTCAAAGCTTCTATCTAAATAATTGAGTGTCATGTAAAAATGCTTTCTCTGTCTGGCCCTAGCCTAACTATCTAAACTCATCAACTAACAGGTTCTCCTGTGAATGGTAAATTTGGCATGCATTATTTATAATTGTACAAGAATAACATCATCTTCCACTTCTTCATACTATTATTCATAATGCCTAAACTTTGTTTTTTATATTACTATATCTGAGATATCTATTATCTGATCACATAAAAAATTAACCCCTAAGAAAATAATAGTAGCGAAAGTTCACAAGTGTCTTACTTTTTCAAAATTTCTTTTTAAATGTAAAACTAAAACCTGATTTTTCCAGAGAGACGTTTTTAGCAGGGTATGGGGGCTGAATTCCTTTCATATGTTTGAATGAAATGCATCCAAGAATATAGTAAATCGCTCACCTTTCCTCCATCAAAAAGTCTCCTCTCTGATTTAGTGATTGACACATTTGATAGCTCTATATCCCTATCAGATGAAGAAAAAGAAACGCATCACTGACTTCCAAACATGACACTGATAAAAATTATCTCAGCGTCTCTGACACTAACAGTGATTTTCAAGTTGATTTTTTAAACAAAACTTTAGTCCCTATATCTACATTAATCTAAATAATATTAGAGTATTTCCAGAGTACTGCTAGATAGTTGCCATTTTGTCATAATCCATATATGTATTATTTGCACTTCTGTGTCTCAGAAAATAACAAAAGAAAAATAAGGGTTATAGGTATGGATGATGGAAATTAAAAGTGACAAAGAAAAGACAAGTTGAAGAAGAAAACATCAGAAAGATTATAATAACAATGGTAAACTTCTCTGAGTGTTAAAATGCTCTGTGTCCAAGAAACTTAAAACTTGAGTCTCTAAGATTTTATTGTACTTCAAAGAGAAGATGTCTGCTCTATAAAAGCAATGTTTAATTTTGACCAACAGATACAAAACTTAAATACTCAACACATACTCTATTGGGTATATTATTTTCCTGATAAAAATTAAAATTTCACCATAATATCAATTAGAGGAATATTGCTGTATTTTCATTATATGACTACTGGTGTGACATTATTAAGTTTTAA